TAAATATCCAGCAAGGTAATTGGCTACATTTTTCCGAATTCACGTAATTAATTTCTTAGAGGTCACTTCACCAGCCCCTCCGTCAAATTCACCTTCATCTCCAAACGTTTCCTCTGTTAAAGTTTCCAAAGAAATGGCTATCCAGGCGCTTGAACAGCAATGTTCTGCAAAAAAGAGTATTTTGCGTAGACAGCTGGAACGAGCCTTGGATAAAATACCTTTGCCAAAACCGTCTTCTTCCTGTGGCTTATCTGATGTCGCCTTTATCCCAAGCACACTGAGCAATGAATTTATGTCACTTATTGGTTTGGAAGAGGTTGTAAGAAATCTAGCAGTGAGTAACTTTCCGGTTATTATTCCAATTTCGGCATTTTCTAACACTTCATCTATTTCATTTCAGGATTTTGACCCCTGTCTTTCTGGTAAATCATCTGAATCTAGACGTGTGTTTAGCCCTTTTGCGTGTGTTCGCTGCGGAACTGATTTTACTCCAGTTTGGAAACGAGAAAGGCCTGGATCCTCAGGAGTTATTTGTGAAACATGCCTTACTGGTGTTCAACAGTTGGCTCTTCAAAAAGATTACGAAGCAGCTATTGATAGTATTATGAAACAGCATGCTGCTTCAGAAAAAGACGTTGAGAAAGAACTTAAAGAAATAGTTAACTCTCCTTCTCGCCTGGAATCTTTTATTAAGGAGCAAGAGAAAAAGCTTGCTGCAACTCAACAAGCTCAACTTGCTGTCCTTCAACAGCAGCATCAAATACAACAGCAGAATCAGCAGGTTATCTCGCAACCGCCGAGATACCAGCAGGTACGGTCCCTGTTAATTCTTTCTTACTATCATAACTGCCATCTTTTTAAACTCGCGTTGAACATATTTAGGGATTTGTGAATCCTGCGTCTGTAGCTGCTGGTGCCCGACACCAGCAGGCAGTTGCCAATAGCTCAGTATCTTCGGCAGCTATGAATCATCTGCAGAACCCAGTCAATGCTGGCTCTTTGAATGGACCTACGCTCGGTTTATCGGGCTTAATGAGTTCATCTGCTAACACGGTCACTTCGACTCCTGCTGCTAGCACTCGCAGACATCCGCAATCACAGTTACCGCAACAAACCTTATCTCAATCTACATCTGTTGTCCAACAACAACCACAGGCGTCCTCATTGTCTAATTCTGGTCTTGCACCCGTGCTCAACCCTCAGCTACCTGCTCAGTCAAGTAATAACGCGGCGGCTGCGGCAGCAGCAGCATCGCTCTGTAACAACCCAGCGGGATTAGCTGGTCTTGCTGCTGCAGGTGGCCTAACGGCGCAACAGCTAATGGCAATAGCGGCAGCCCAGCAACAGCAGCAACAGCAAGTTGTCGCTGCTCAGCAACAGTTGCAACAGCAGCAGCAACATCTGCAGCAATTGCAGCAACAACAACAACTGGCTTCACATTTCCAAGCACAATTTGCTGCTAAGCAGCAACAGGCGCAGGCGCAGCAAGCTCAACAGGTTCCAAATAATTTATCCCATCTGACTAAGTTTGGATATCAGTTTCAGAATTTTACGAATATTTCGAAAGGTTAGGCTAATACGCACCATAAAGTATTCGCGCGTCAATTTCCTGTTATATTATTAGGAGAGAAAAATTATGCTATGCCTCTTCAGTAAAATTATTAGTGTCACTCGTTCCACTGTAAATATGCTGGGAGGAAATAAATTAACTGGTCTTCCAAGTTTCTATGATTT